CCCCGACCCCGCCCCCACCCCGGGCCCGGGCCGCCAGGCGGCTGCCCGTGGAGGCAGAGCAGTGGGTGGACGGAAACCGCCTTTCGGTTAAACCGACCCGCCGGCCTCCCCGGCTCTCTGGTGGCCGAGCCCCTGCTGCTCTGCGTGTCTGCAGCCCGTGGGCGGCTTCTGTGTAGACCCTTGAGGCCTCGGCCTGGCACTTTCAACGCAAGCCTCCGCCTTTTCTTCCATCTTAGGTTTGCCTTGGTATCCGTTTTTCCACACAGTTGTTTAAAACGCCGTAGATTTTTATTTCAGCTTTGGTTTGTACAACACAAGCTGACGATTATTGTACGCAGAGGGTCTCCTGCCGCCTGGTCTCGGGTTCCCTTCTCCGCGCCCCGCCCGCGCGGAGGGCTCTGAGTGGCAGGACGAGCCGGGCCTGCCTTTGTCCCCGCCGGCCCTGAGCGCGGGCCCTGCCGCTGCCGCAGAGCCTCTGCAGCGCCTCGGCGGGCGGCCGCTGGCCGGGGCAGTGGAGCCTCGGATCTGCGTGTCTCGGTTCTCTCTGCCTACCAAAGGGAGGGACCACCTGTAAGATTTATTCCGGCCAGTTTAGGACCTGGTCATCCAGTTATGGGGTCCCGGTAGCTAACAATGAGGATGAGACCCAGCTAGACCATACACTTTGATTCTGTTGCTGTTCCTGTAGACACACTCTTGGCCAAATCATGCTGAAACGCTAATAAAAGCTTATGAAAAGTAATGGGCTATGATTTTGTAAAAAGAAAAATAGACCAATTTCCGAAAAAACCTGTTATTTTGGTATATTTTAGAAGTTTAGTCTTTACTAAATAAAAGGTGTGGGATGTTCTTGAGGTTTCAGATGGGGTGCCAGAATTTAGGTTTATGATAGAGGTGAACATCTGAAACCTCGGAGAATCTGCACAATGACGAGCCAGTGTTCCACTCTCTCTGACTGAGGAGGTCAGTTATGCCCACTGGTTGGTGCTTTGGCTGGCACAATAATGCTGCCCCGACGTTAAGTTGAAATTGGGAAAATACACGTGAACTTTCGCCCATAGGCTAGTCAGATTTAACTGATTAATTTTATTTTTAAAGTTTCTTTTCCATAGATTTTAAGAAGCATGTATTTTACCATACAGCCATTATGAAAATGAAATATTAACATTTGTGAAATGATTTGAGCTAAAATTAATGGATTTTGTACAGTACTGATAATGCTCAGTCCAAATTAATGGAGGTGGAACAGATAGCACCCAGAATGGGAACCTCCAAATAGTGCCAAAAACTCATTGTAGTCTTTGATTATGATGTCCTTGGAGCTTATAAACAAGTCACAAAATGGAATTTGAACTTTTCAGGTTCTTTCCCCTTGTTCAAAAATGGGAAGAAGCTACAGGGGGCTTACAGGTTCACAAACTGGAGAATTAGTCCCTTAATGAATCAGAGTTAAATATAGTTATTGTGATAGTCCTTTAAGTTTATGTGTCCTTAGATATTTTTGCATTTTCAAATAGTGATATGAAAACAATGTCCATTTAACTGGGAAAATTGAACTGTGAAATAAAGTTTATAATATCGAGTTGTAACAATCGTTCTCAGTGTGTTGAATCAGTTGTAATAATAAACATGAAATATAACATTCGATGCACATGAGAAAGTTCCATGGCTTTACCTGCAAGAGCTTTGCAGGCTTTTAGAGTCCCCTGGAGCCGGGAGATCACCTTAGTCTGCTCATTGTACAGCCCAGGAAGCTGAGACCCTTGCTCCTGCCCAGGGCTCCTTCGTTACGTTGGGCCTTACACAACATTTGAAAGAAAGACAGCTTTTATAAATGCTCAAAGAGCCAGCCTCTTGCTGTTTGTCCTTTTTACAAACAGGTGAAATCTGCTGTTGGACATTTTATTTTACTGCTTGGAAGTACAAATAGTGACTTAATTTCACTAATTGTTTTTGCTTGTTACACTCTTAATGCTATGGTGATAGTCCTGTACTACAAAAACGAGTAAAAGTATAGATGGCTTCCTGTAAATCGCTGAGGGACCCATAAGGAAGTTGCAATTCCCCCTTTTTGAAATCCTAGAGACTACGAAGTATACAGAGTGGAAGAGGGACAGACTGTCAGCAGCCTTGCGGGCGGGTTTGTAAGGACTTTGGCTTTTGACTCCATTGAGAAGGAAGACATTGAAGGGTTGTCAACAGTGAAGTGACATGAACTGACAGGAATGCTCAATTCAATGGACTCAACATGCTATTCCATTTAACTCTGTATTTTTTGGTATAATACAATCAAGCCCGATTTAAATTAAAGAAGGGAGCAAGAAATGTGCTGAGATACATTTTCTGGAGATGTGAGAAGCTACAACGACCTCCAAATTATTATGTATTAAAAGTACATTTTTAAATAGAGAAACAGGAAAGCTCCACTGGAAGGGAGAATGTTTCAAGTTCTGGTTAAAAATGCAGGCCTAGCAATCAGGCAGAGCAGGCTGGAGCCCCAGCTAGACCGCAGAGAAGCTGGGGACCTTGCACAAGACATGCCTCTCTCTATGCCTGAGTTGACTCATGTATGAAATGATACCCACCTTATAGGTTGTTGGGAAAATTCAGCAAGGTAATGAATGTAAACTCTGAGTACAGTGCTGGCACGCAGTGTGAGCTCAATAAATGTTAGTCTTCATTAGGTATGTCGAGCAATTTAATGAACTGAAGGAAATCTAGAATTGGATTGTCAATATTAAATCTTATTTAGGAAATTGTGACCATACATATTTTGTAAATTGTCGATGAATTGTTCACGGTAAGATGTTAGTCTGGGAAAAAGTGAAATGAAGTATGGACAGGAGAGTGCAGACTTTACTTCTAGGTCCATCGCTGTCACTATAACCAGCTGTGTGACCTTTGGGAAATTGTACAATCTCTCTGGATGTTAGTTTCCTCATCTATAAATGAAGCAGAGGAGACCAGAAGATTTACAGAGTCGTTCCAGGGAGAACCTTCTATGAATTTCTTCTCTGCTGACTCCATGCTGTAAATGGGGGAGCAGTGTTAAACTTTGAAATAATCGTTATTCATATTCAGGTTCTACCTGTTATATTTAAAACTTTGCATTAGAGTCTCAAAGCATTTTACAATTAATTAGTAGACATGAAATTTGAACCAGTGTACTGGTTCAAATTTTTGAATTTTAAATGGCACAAAATACTCCCATTTACATGAGACTTAGGTACCACAACAGGCTAGAAGTTTTAAAGTAAATGGTTTCTATTTGAATCATCTTGTCTTTGACGTTGTAAATCTCTGTCTTCACATAAATTATGTAACTTCTGTAGAATAAGGTGTCCCCATTTGAAGGTTGCAGGAAAAGTAGAATCATGTAGTTAATAGTAAGATATCAGAGGTTTTCTGATAACTCCAATATTTACCAGGTGAAGGCTGATAACATTTACCAAAACTTATCTTACACAAAGGCAACTTGAATGGTGAGAAGTTTATAAATTCTGTGCTATCACACATGAGTGCCTGGCCAGTGTCACAGTGCCTGATAGAACAGGATGAAGAAAATATTTAGACCATCCATTTTAGAAAGGCAAGAATGAGATGAAGGACTAAAGTGATTAATGACCTCGTAAGCTCTCGCCTTCTACCTGCGCCGTAATCATCTCTCTAGAAGTTAGTCTAAGTTCCTTGAGGGCAGAGAGCAAGACGGACTTGACTTTTCCAGTACCTGTGCAGCGTGTCTTGCACCAGCATTCACCAAGAGCCCAGCGCTGCCCTGGAAACAAGATGAAGGTTCAGTAATGAAAAATAACCCTCTAAAAACGTGTGAACTGTACCAAAGCCCTGATTGCACTGAATAATTCTTGATTTTAAGGGGTTCTCAAAAAATCAAGTAGAGGCCGTGATAATAAATTTTATTCACCAGAGCCTTCTTGACACAACACCTGTAAAAGAAATAAATAAGTAAATTACTTTGCAAGCTCGGCTTTCCACTTGGCTGTTATTATTGTGGGCACCATTAGTGAGCACCATCAAGCTTTATCAGTGATCCTAAAATAACCTCTTAGAACTACTAAACACATTTTTTATGGCCCATAGATTTAATTACACGTCCAGGGATTCTCCCCTCTACACTGACAATGTGTCGTGCAATTGCTTCCATCTAGTGAAGCAGGATTGTGTCAAAAACTGATTTCAGAAATGTTCATAGTAGTCATGCCCAAGGCTGTGTAGTCTATTTGTCTATTTTAATCTTTCCTAATCCACTTCCTCGTTAGATACTAGCAACACAAAAGTAGGGACTTCCTGTTCTCCCTAACTCCTAGCAATATTGCCAAGCATCAGATGCTCAATCAATATTTTTAACTTTATTTAGAAGGTGGTATTAGACTATTAAGAAAGTCTTCCAACTCCAGATATAAGCACCATCAAAAAGTGTCATCCAGGGCCGCCCCGTGGCTTAGCGGTTAAGTGCCGAGTTTGGATCCCGGCGCGCACCAGCGCACCGCTTCTCATGCGTCTTCTCGGTGCGTCTCACCAACGCACCACGCTGAGGTCACGTCCCACATACAGCAACTAGAAGGATGTGGAACTATGACATACAACTATCTACTGGGGCTTTGGGGGGAAAAAAAAGGAGGAGGATTGGCAATAGATGTTAGCTCAGAGTCGGTTTTCCTCAGCAAAAAGAGGAGGATTAGCATGGATGTTAGCTCAGGGCTGATCTTCCTCACAAAAAAAAATAAGGATCTGTCAGTTGACTGTGATCTGGAAAAGCACGTAGAGATGACACACATAACAGGTTATTTACCAGTGCTAACCAATATAGTAGCCAGGACCACAGGTAGCTATTTAAATTTAAATTATTAAAATTAAATAAAATTAAAAATTCAAT